GTGCTTGATTGTGTGCTTGATTGCATCACTGTCTCAGAAGTTTTGAACATGTGCCTTTTCTTTATTCAGCCTTCCAATTTGTTTCTTTCTTTTCCTAACTTTTTTTGCAATTTCTCTTTCTTTGCTTCACAAGTTCTACTGTGTTTTTCCTTGAAATTACTTTCTCCTTATTAACTCAGATTTGTCAAAGTTTGTGGATGATGTTTAAGACAATTAAGTAAGAAAAGTCGTCATGCCTGAAGTTGGATATGGCTGGCTTTAAGCAAATCAACATACTTCTACTTTGTTTTACTCTCCTCTTCTCAAGCTCTTTTTATGGCCTTGATCTCCTTTGTTTTTCAATTTCAATTTAGAAAATTCTACTGTTCCCTTAGAAACCATTAGACTTAAAACATTTCTTTCAGTTCATTCCAGATTTTAGTACAGAATGGGAGGATATAATCTGTACCTTATGCCAAGTCTTTGAAAAGCTATTACCTTGCGCTTTCTATTTTTAGCTTAATTTTTAGCTTTATGAAAATGCATGCCTAAAAGCTTGTTTGTGCACTTAAATGTTCTTTCTGTATGTGTGTGTGCATGAATTTACAGTCAGGTAACATGTGACCATCCACGCATCCAGGCTATTGAACGATCAAAGTTCATGGTTCGAAATTGTGTTTCATTTCCTATAATTGCTCCCTATTTCGAACTCTTAAATTTACTTATAGGAAAATCTGTCATCTTATCAACATTATTGAGTTTTGCAGGTTCAGGTAATCCTGCTTCTTGGGACCGAGCCATTATTTTAATTGCAGCTTATCATGGAATTTGTGTACAGGTTCTCAGTTCGGCTCCAGAGAAAATGGTTTAAAGGATCTCTCAGATTTGTAACTTAAACAAGAAAGCACCTGCAGCATGCAGCGTTTTATCAACTCTACTGCAAGTAATAGGTGATCTGATTGTGTCTTATCGACTAGCTACGAGTGGTATTAGCAAGGTTCTGCCTTGCTGGAATATCGATTTGTTATTTAGTTATTAATTTGACAGGGTTGGTTTTGTTGGATCATCAGAATCATATTTTGTGTTAAAGACTTTGAATAATCTCTTTGCCTTTGATTTGATACTTAATTCTTAGGTTTTAAATCTACAATCTTGCCTTTGATTTTCTGTTCATGTGTTCCTCGTTTTCTCTTGTGTGCCATAGCCAAAGAGGTAAATGGCAATACAGGTTATGTTTGAAGCTATTGGAGTATATATTTGATATAATTGTCTACCAAAAAATTTTATGCATGGACGGTGAATCATATTATGTTGTATCGTTAGGAAGTTTAAAATTTCAGAATCTGCATGAAAATATATATCATAAATTTAAGGTTTTAATTAGGCAAAAATGATTGTAACAAAAAGCTTTAATTCTTAGGTCATAACATAAATTTATTTTTGCAAGAATGAGTTGATATTCATTGCAGTTTAATAGTGTTGGTAATTTTTATATATTCATGTTTTATCAGGTGTATATGAAGCCATATTAACTCTGGTTTTTGAAGGTTTATCATGTCTGTTGTCTGCATCCTCGTAATTCAAATTAGAATTAATAAAATATTTATCCATTGTTGTATACGTCAATTTATTTATTTTTAATTATTCATATTTTTACCTCATTAGTGAAATAAACAATAGAATATTCTTTGGAATGGAGTTGAAAATGAACATAAATTTGAAGACAAACCAGGTTTTTATTCATTTTTTATGCATGAAGGTTTAGTCCAAACTATTATCCTCCGACAAAATGATATTCTCAAAGAATGATAATAAAACTACTGATAAAAAATTATTTATAAAGTCCTTTTTGTAGAGTAATAATTCTCATACTTGAAAATATTATCAAATGGGTTCCTATTTTGATAGGTCTAGTAAAATTTTTATCCAATATACATTTACTTGCCCATATAAGGCATAAAAGGAAGAAAACTTTTTAAGGAGTATTTTTTTAATTGGAAGGGATAAAAGGAAAAATACTTTATTGTGGTATTTGTATGTAGTTTAAATGATACACTGACTTTGATTCAACAATTTGTATGTAGTTTAGCAAATGTTAAACATCATTGATTCAACCAAACAAATTTAATAAATTTATGTAATTTAAGATAAATGTCTTGTTCAACAATGTTTTAATATTGCTTTAAAACGGACAAAACAACATGCTGGCTGTGAGGTTCGAACTCACGCGCACTTATGTGCAGCAGATCTTAAGTCTGCCCCCTTAACCTCTCGGGCAAACCAGCTGCTTATGCCTTAACTCACCGAATAATCTTTGTCGACCTATAATCTGATTTACCCTCGGAAACATCTAGAAAAGCGAAGCTGACAAGCATAATCTGACGGCCACGATCCAATCTCTCAAACTCCAATACCCAAAACTTTTCTTCTCATTCCCTACCGTCCGATGATTCTCACCTTAAAACCGCACCTTTCCTCCATAGTAAGAAGAGAAACAGCTCGGTAGCGAGGGAGGGGAGGAACTGAGGAAGGGTAGGAAAAAAGAAAAACTGAGGAATAGAAAACAAGGGAAAGGAAAAGAGAGAAAATGGCGGAGCACTTGGCTTCGATATTTGGTACGGAAAAGGATAGGGTCAACTGCCCGTTCTACTTCAAGATTGGCGCTTGTCGTCACGGAGACCGGTGCTCTCGTCTCCACACCAAGCCCAGCATCAGCCCGACTCTCCTTCTCTCAAACATGTACCAGAGGCCCGACATGATCACCCCCGGCGTCGACGCCCAGGGTAACCCCATCGACCCCCGCAAGATCCAAGAACATTTCGAGGTAAATCTCCAAAACAAATCAAAACTCTGAAACTTTTACCGAACTTATAATGATTAAGTTATGTTTTAGGGTTTTATAGATTTAATCAATTTTAAATGATTTGTTTTTTGTTAGGATATGGTTTTTCTATTATTATCATTATTGGTTCTTGTCTAAGTAAATCGAATGCCAAAATTTCTGTTAAATAGTATAAGAGAAATTTTGAATTCGCAGTCCACAGCGAGAAGCAAACAGTTAATTTAACAAAGTAAACGGATTCTTAGATGCTTGATGTTAATTTTCCAGGAGTTTTATGAGGATTTATTTGAGGAACTGAGCAAGTATGGTGAAATTGAGAGTCTGAATATATGCGACAACTTGGCTGACCATATGGTAAATATTTTCTCTGGCCATGCTTGTTTGCCATTACTTTTGTTTGACAAGCTGATATGTTAAGTATTTAAATCATTTTCTGTGGACAGGTAGGCAATGTGTATGTTCAGTTTAGAGAAGAAGAACATGCTGCAAATGCGCTCAGGAATCTTAGTGGAAGATATTATTCTGGTTTGACATCTTCTATCCTCTTGTATGAGCTTTTTTTTTTTTTTCTATCATCATCTATGTCAGTATTGCATCCAAATCGCAACAGATGCTTATGTGGCTAAGTTACTTTATCCTTTTGTACTATCTATCTTTTCATAATATATAAGAGATTGTTATGTTGTTAAGTTGCCCTTTTCTATTAGCTTCTACCTATTGGTCATTTTGGAATTGTGTTGCAACAGATGCATGTATCATTAAATTACCTGACCTTTTTGTTGCAGGCCGTCCTATCATTGTTGACTTCTCACCTGTGACTGACTTCCGTGAAGCCACCTGTAGGCAGTATGAAGAGAACACTTGCAATCGTGGTGGATATTGCAATTTCATGCACCTGAAGACAATCAGCAGGTGGGATGTCATTTCATATCAGCATTACCTGTATATGGTCATTGTTTTAATAGGTCTAAATTTGTTCATTGTTAATCTACATCAGGGAGTTGAGGCGCCAGTTGTTTGGGAGGTATAGAAGGAGGCGAAGCCATAGCCGAAGCAGAAGCCCTCCAAGGCATCGTGGTAGCCATGAGGAACGCTCTCATGGCGGGCGTGGCCACAGTAGACGGTATGATGATAGAGATCATTATCATGAAAGCCGGAGCAAAAGGCATAGAAGCACTAGTCCTGGCCATAGGAGAGGACGGAGCAGAAGCCCTGGGGGAAGGAGAAATCGTAGTCCAGTTCGTGAAGGCAGTGAGGAGAGGCGTGCGAAAATTGAGCAATGGAACCATGAAAGGGAACAAGAAAATGCTAACAAAGTTGATAATGATGCTGCCAATAATAACAATGAGAATGGTGACAATGGATATGCAAAGAATGATGATAAGTACTATGGACATCAGCAGCAGCAGCAGTAGCCTCCATAACTGGGAGGCCATTGACAATTATTAAATTACTTTGTCTGGTTTGTCTCTCTATCTTTTTCTATCATTATTTTCATATTTTGCTTTCTCAGTAGAAGAAGAAATATTTCTACTAAGACCAAGCATCCTGTAAATATAGCTTACAGCCCATTTTCCACTGTGCAGGTGGTGTGCAGGTTCACAATTCTTTGATATGGAATTTGAAATTTGTTTTACCTTTTTCTTTTAGTTCCATGCCTTTTACAACTCTGTTCATAATGCTTGATTGTGTGCTTAACTTCATCATTATTTTTGAAGATTCTACCTTTTCTGTCCTTTCTCTGATACAGCCTTCCAATTAAATTCACTAGACTATGGCCTGTGCGTTGCACATGGGCCTCTTTCTACTTGTTTTTTTCTTTCTCTTCTGACCTCTATTTTTCTTGCCTTTTCTCTTTTTTCCTGTGCTCTCCACGTGGCTAGAGGGGTAGCCCCTTTGTGGGTTCCTTTTAAGTATGTTATATATTTTGGATCTAATTGTTTTTGCTATTTTTCTTCTCACTTTGTTTACAAGTTTTACCATATTTTGTCTCAACGATTCTTTCCCTGCTATTACTAAGTTTTGTCAACATGGGCACTGAAGTTGGCTATGTCTGTCTGCTAGTCAGATGAGGTTTTAAGCAACACAATTTTTCATTTTCCTCACATGAATCTCTTGTTATGGCCTTGATCTTTTGTTCCTTTCAATTTTAATTTCGAAAATTTTACGGTTCCTTAGAAACCATTAGATTTAACATCTCGTTCTACTCATTCCAGATTTTAGTAGGAATTGGGAGGATATAATCCTAGACATAGGTCAAGTCTTTGGGAACTATTGTCTTCTGCATTTTGTTTATAGCTTTAACCTTTAGTATTAGGCAAATGCATGCATGAATTCTTCTTTGTGCATTGTAAGTGTTGTGTGGATGTGTGCATTCATGAATTTACAGTCAGGTACCGTGTGACCACCGCACTTCTGGGCTATTGAACGATATTCATGGTTCTAAATTGGGTTTTGTTCCCTATGATCTCTTTCTCTATTTCATACACTTAATTTACTGCAAGGAAAATCTGTTATCTTATCAACATTATTGAGTTTTGCAGGTTCAGGTAATCCTGCTTCTCGGGACCAAGCCATCATTTTAATTGCAGCTTATCATGGAATTTGTGTACAGGTTGTCGGTGCTGTGCTAGAGAAACAGGTTAAAAGGGTATGTCAGGTTTAACTTGTAGAAGAAACAAGAAAGCGCCTGCAGCCTCTTCTCAGCTCTACTGCAAGGTATAGGTGTTGTGGGTGTCTTACGGACGAGCTAGGAGTGGTTTCAGTGAGGCCCTGAGTTGCTGGGCTTTCTATTTCTTATTTTGATCTTAACTTAACTGGTGTTGTATTGTTGGAACGTGATACATGTTTGGGGTTAAAAGACTTTAAAAGGATTGCCTTTTACTAAATAAGATACGCAACTCATTGCTATAAAGTCTAGTATTTGCCTTTAATTTTTCCTTGCTTTACTCTTCTGTCGCGTGCCAATCCAGAATAGGTTAAGGTACTAATAGGGTTTGTATTTCTAATCTATTGGATTAATATAGATTGTCAATACTTAGTTTAAAATTATGTATTCCTGAATTTAAATGCAAATTATTACTTAGTCCTTTAATTCAGGAAGGAGATGATTATAGAATTTTAGAATTTATAAGTAACCGATTCTTGCCTTTCTGGTGGGTTAGATGAAAGGGCGATGTTTATCCATTAATTTAACGTTTATTTTGTCGAACAATAAAAAAATTAGTTTTGCGGGTTTCCTTTTTAAATAAATTTTGGGTCAAATCGTACTGGAATGAGTTTGGACTTGGATTTAGCTCATTGTTTATTGTCTTTGTCAACAAAAAAATTAACATGACCAAAGGGAACAATCAACCTCAGCAATTGGAGTGTTCTCCCTGTTATGCCTGTAGTTTAAATCTTAATTGTGAGGCTCATGAACTATGGCACAATATCAATATATATTGTCATCCTCTAAACAATTCACATTTAAAAAACTTTTCATACCATTTAATATGAAAGAAATGAGAACACATTTTTAACAATGTGTTTAATTAAATTATATTATAATATTTATTTTACAATAAATTATTATAATGTAAAATTACAATACAATCATATTACAATCAATAAATATAATATAATTACAATTCAAAACTAATATAATCACATTACATTACACTATATAATATTATTAAAAACATTTTTATCTTTTAATTTTATTACTTTATTAAAATATTTTACAATATTATAATTAAAATAAAAAATATTAAACTAAAATATACAATATAAAAATTAAAAATTAAAATATAATATAAAAAATTATAATTTCTATAATATAAATAAATAAATTAAAATATAATATAATATAAAAATTATTTTAATAAATAAAATATATAAAATTATAATAATAAATAAAAATAAAATATATACATTAAAAATATATTTAAAATAATATTTCATAAAAATTAATAATAAAAATATAAATATATTAAACTTATATTTTAATAACTAAAAATAATTTTAAAAATTAATATTATTTCATTCTCAACAAAATACTTATAAACCAAACGTTATAATATTATCTTTCCTACATTTTGATCATTATTTTACTTATATATTAAATACTATAATATTATTTTTCTTATAATAATATTACTGGTAATCACATTATCTGTAATTACATTACATTATAAAATACTAAACGTCACCTTAATAGAGCACTAAAATTATTAGACATGCTTAGCAAGAAGCTGCAATGAACCATAACATATAACATCACCATGCAAAACTTCACTTTTAACATATAATTTGAAAAACAAGAACCTTTCATTTAAGACCATGTAAATGCATAACGACATGAATAGAACACATAAACTATAGCATCACAATCTAAACCCTTTCAAGGATAATAACCAAAATGATAGTGCCGAATCAGAAGTAAGGATCCGCAAAGTCTTGTTAACCATAGACCCCCTCATTTACTAACAAGCATAATCTACCAAAACCACAAAAGAACACATCTCTCCCCCAAAAATTAAACATGCACACAACATAAGAGCATGTTATGTATTACAGCATTCATTTGCCACCATGCTTGGCCTTTTTGTGAGATTCTAGACCACCCTCAGAGCCAAATGACCTGTTCATAATAATATGCAGGACATTAGTAAAGCAACCAACTCAAAATAAAATTGGAAGTTGTTTTAAAAGTTGTAGATAAGTACTTGTTACAAGATCCACAAGAGAATTGACCACCAGACTTCGGACTCTTTGCAGAAGATTTCCCAGCTTGCTTTGATGGGTGAGGTGTTGCTGTGTGACCACCCTTCTTATCATCTGCAATAGCAAGGAACTAAAATCAGAAGAAGATAAATGGACCAATCCTAATTAACCATTACCACTTCAAAACAGTGTAGAGAAAAGATAACCATTAACAATTACAATAAAAAAAAGAGGCAGAAGTTTTTCATGTGAAGAGATAAGAGAACTACCTGTCTTCTGAGGTGTTGCTGCAGATTTTGCCTTTTTTGCAGAAACAGGGGTAGCAGCTTCTGCAGGTCTCTTCTTGCTTGCCTCAACCTTAAAAGTATAAGAAATAAAATTTCATTAATGGAATCAGGGCAGATTCAAAAAATTCAAAAAGCACTTCAGTCTACCAAACATGCCTTCTTAGGTGTCCCCTCATCCTCATCATCAGAACTTTCATCCATAGACATCTGCCCAGGAAACAGAACATCTTACTAACTCATGTCAATCAATTACTACTTCATCTAGAAAAGAAAATAAAGGAAAACCAAAATGAGCCAACTGAAATCCATATGTAGTGATCAACACCAAAGTCACTACAATGTAATGCATTCATTTCAATCATTTCTACAAGGAACAGAAAACATTTTATACCTTCACTATTTAGCTAGGAAAAAATGGATTAAAAGCAATCAACTATGCAAAGTGAAAAGGGTAAAAAACAACTCACAGACCAAAGACAACAGATACCACACAGATCAGAAGGCCATTCAAAATAAATAAAATAAGGAAAAGCATCCATTTTAAGTGTAATAATCAATTAAAAATCTTTTGCCTAGTTATGAAAAAGAGACCTCATCAGACTCATCTTCATCCTCAGAATCATCTTCCTCATCAGAACCACTTTCATCCTCAGAATCACTCTCATCATCATCCTCAGTTTTCTTGTTATTGCTTGGTTCTTCAATCTTCACAGCTTGTTTTAGAGCATCAGGTTTCCCAGCATTAACCTTAGATGGTTTTACATCTGTCTTAGCTTTTCCTGTAGTGGAAGAAAATGTTTGCCAGTTGAAAATAAGAGAGATTGAAATCTTCAACCACTGATTAAATTCTAGTACAGGAAGAGAACTTACCATTTTCTGCAGCAGCCACAGGAAGTTCCTCATCCTCGCTACTTTCTTCGTCACTAGACATATCTATACATAAGAATAATATGCATGAGAAATACTTGCTAAAGACAAGAAAATTACAAATAGGCAAGATGTTTTCCAGGACTCACCAAATTCATCATCAGTGGTGACAAAGAAAGCATAAGAGTCAAGGAAGAACAAGATGGCCCAAACACACTTAACATTCATGAAAAACAAGAGTTCAGTTATCACCAAAAAACAAAATTAACTCCTACTAATAAAAGGATATCCTTCCTCCGGCACAAAAGTTTTGTAACCAAGGAAATAAACACTTCCATGTTTGCAGTTGTGAGAGAGCTCAAACTCTTGGTCAAACACTAAATCAAAAGATAATTGAGGGAAATTCTGGTGGGAAAGAGTTCCAAGAACGAGTTTCTGCCCATCAGCATTTACATGGAGGGTGACAGATTCTGCTTTGTTCTTTGACTCGCCAAGTGTTGCCTAAAACACAAGCAGATTGCAGGTTATTTTAGACACCAAAAGAAAAAAAAAAGAAACCATTGATAATAAAATCAACTTCAACAAATAAATCACTTCTAACCTGGGAAAGATGGATGACATGATTGGCACCAGGGTCTGCTTTAATGGGCTTTCCAGCCTTAACTTCAATACCTAATAGTAACATAAAAAATAATTGAATTTAATTACCCGAACTAAAACACAACAAAACACGTGTCTCTAAATATAAATCAGAAGTATACAATTACAAACAGTGTCTCTAAAAATCATTACCAACAGTTTAAAAAAAAAACCCCATTTCAATCTTTGCTCTGTACAGACATACACGAATCATTGCCAACAAAATTCATTCAAACACCACAAAACGAAGTGAATCCAAAATCTTATACCAACATTGTCTGAAAGCATGCTAACAAAATTAAACTAACGATACAAACAAATTCTAGAACATGTTTGAAAAAAATTATCTGTATTGACAGTAGTACACCAGGGAAGCTAAAACCCAAGACTTCTTCAAGGCAGTAAGATAAATAGTATTACATTTCGAGAACGTAAATTCACAAATATAACGAGCTAGCTAAGCTAACCTCATTTCAACAGAAAGAGCAAACTAACAAAATAAAAAAGATCAAAGCTTCCACAAACACAACCGTCTTTTAAAACCAGAAAAAAAATCGTAGAAAATGAGTGAAAATGTTCGAAGAAAGCAGCAAAATGAACAGCAGGAGAGAAGAAAGGAAACGTAAGCAAAAGGCCAAACCATCAAAAGTCATATAAAAGAAAGAACGAGAGAAAGAGGGCTTACCCCAGAACTCCATGGATGATGGTGATAGTGGGAGAGAGGGAAGCAACTGAGGGGCTAGGGTTTTGGGAGGCAGGAGAACTAGGGCTTTAGAAAGGGGAAGCGCAAGAGTATCAACGCTTTAAAGAGGGCGGAAACTCGTGGGGACATTGAAATGAATTTATAAGCAAGTTGCCGCCAGGTTGTGTTTGCTCCATTTTTAGGGTTTTGTGGAAAACTGAGGATTCGCTAAAAAGAGTTCGTTTTGGGCTTTGGCCCAACATATTTGGGCCTTAGGCCCAATATCCGGACTTTTAAATAATTTTCGGATGGGCTATGTTTTGACCTAACCCAATTTTTGTGGACACCTAGAGAATAGGCCCGATTCCATGAAATAGAAGAGAAGTACTCAAGATTGATGGACAAAATGCAAGATGTGTTACAGCAACCTGTTAGCCTTTTTCTCCCGGAGTGGTGTTTTGGTAAATAACTAAACATTCTTTTTGGGGTACATAATAAATAATTATAGAATTGAATCACGTTTAACATACTTCCATCACATGATATGTAAAATTTTGACATACAAAATGAACAAATCGAACATACTCAAAAAAATCAAAATTTTTCAAACAAGAATGCAGTTCATCTTATTGTGTAAATATTTTTTATTAAACAATTATTTAAAATAATACTTATTATATATACACACCTTTTTTATCAATATATGAAAATTTATTGAATTTTCAAATAATACAACAAGAGATAACTCTCTCTCATCTCGTCTCAAATTTTAATTGTAATATTCAACTGTAGACGTTCAATGCTTGTGCTTCTGCAAAGGAAAATTAGTGACAAACTCAGTTCACATTCCTCTTGGATCCAAATACTAGTGTCGAGATTGGAAGCTCCTTGTTTGTTTAGTTTTGGAAGTCTGATCTTCTTGTGGAATGCTAGGAACCAGCTTTTTATTGTTTCTAGCTTATGGCAAATGCTCTTTGATTTGGATTTTTGGCCTCTGTTTTTGATGGTACAGTGCCCCTTTTTGCACCTGGGCAGCTGGTGACTCGGACAATTATGTTGTAATTGTACAGGTTTTTTTATCCGATTCGATTTTTAATATCATGGAAGTCTTTGATCAATCCTAAGAGAGACTCGGACATGACATTCCGGTTACGAAATTCAATAAAATCACCTTTTTAAATATATATATATATATATATATATATATAAAGACAGAGAAATATCAAAATACTTGAAAAATGGGCTTTAATATGACACAAGATTGAAACATTGCTAAGACCTAGGTTCCATGTTCTATTTAGACAATGTAATATCGAGACCTATGTAATGTTATCATATCCTTGTCCTGTGTGAAGTATTAAATATTTAATTCATAAAAATATATATGAAAAAAACACACGAGGATACAAATTCAATTTGTGTAGCAAGGACTCGATAGAGGAAAGCTGATCAAAAAACCAGCTCAAAAAACCAAAAACAAGTCTACAAAATGATGCCTCACAAACCCAGAGTGGGGATAGCTTTAATTTGCCACCATAATTTGTCTCTTGGGGTGTTACACCCATTGCGTAAGACCATATGTCATATTCACTACAATTGCACTACTTCCATTTGTTAATAAAATGATAAATTAAGATCCTACCCTACTGAAACTATTACCTGCTGAGGTTGTCAGATCAGAGACAAAAATCTCGTGGTGTCCAAGCTAATCTTTTGTTCATGTATCTGAACACCAGAAAACGCACCTCACCCAACCAAACACAACTCAAAAGACATCTTACATCACATTATTGATCACTGTCCTGCTCTTCACACGTTTTTGGCTTAAGCTTTTGCCTTGCAGGTAAACAAAACAATTCTGTTCATTGATGTGCATTTTTTTGTCTTGTTTTATCATGTGCCCCAGGGGCCACCACAAGATTTCCCACGATAGAATTAGACAAAGGAAAAAGGTTGGGAGGATTCCTGAGACATAGGCCTTTGCTTTGGGGATACATAGGTTTCAGACGGCGAGACCATCAAAAGGATCAGGTTCTTCGGGCTGGGAATCCTGAGCTTTTGATTGAAAAAATGTTTCCAGCTTTAGCACATATGCATGCCATACAAATATATTCCCCTGCTTTTCCATTTGTCACTCCTCCATGTGCCTCCATGGCAGCTTGGGATTGCTCCAAAACCCACATAAAAATGTTTAAAAATATTTACAAAAATGCTTACAGGAAGTTGTGGTTGGGTTTGCATATATATGCAGAATTCTTATTGTTTCTTGATGATATATTAAAGAAGAATGCAACCTAATTCCAGGAAACATTTAATCACTAAAACTATTCTTTAATTCATTGTATCGTTGGTCATAAAAAAGAATCATTGTATCCTCAAAGAAAGGTACTGACGCAGTTCATTTACTTTTGAAGGTAGGTGATGTTTCTGATAATAATAATCAGGATTTGTAATTTTCTCAACTTTTAGTCAAAGCTTACGTTATCCTTCTCCTCATGGTGTACACTCACACCATTGCCAAATCACGTGTGACGAGTCCATGTTTTAGGAAGGTGAGTGGTCAAATTATATATATATATAGAGAGAGAGAGAGAATATTTTTAAAAATAATTTTTAAAAAAAGATATTTTAAAAAATAACTTTTTAATTATTTTAATTATTTTTAATTTAATTAAATAAAATTATATATCATAAAATTATTCGTAATATATAAAAATAGGTTAGATGTTATGGTTTTATTAGTACATGTTATGTACAAAAAGATGTGATATGTCATGGTTAGGTTGTTATATGTCATATTGAAAAAAATACTGTTATTATGCGTTATATACATCATAGTTAAAAAAGTTATTATACACCATGTTAAAAAAAATATTATTATTACACACTATGTTGAAAAATATTATTATTACACGTTATATTTAAAAACATTTTGTTACATTTTAATATCTGAAATGTTATCGTTACTTACGAATTAAAACTTCGAATTTTTTCAACTCTCTTCATTTCATTTTATCTTTTTTTTGACAATTTAGCACCCAAAAGTGTTTGTAACATGTTTTCATAATTCAAAACATAAATTTTCTTATCTAAAATACCTATTTCGACTAAAAATCGAAAAAAATCTTCTTTGAAAACTTAAGTTTATAAATTTCAAATTTTTAAGTTTATTGATATTTAGGTCCCGAATTGATCTAATTAAAAGTTATTTCAAAGATCATTTATAATGTTTTAATTTTATCCAAAATACTTAAAAATCAAATTCTCAAATAATCACTTATCCAAGCACATCAAAAGTATCACTTGGTGTCTTGAGAGGGTAGAAAAGATAAATACGAAAAGTGTGAGAAAGAGAAATCGGAACATAACAGATGAATGTTAAAGAGAGAAATCGATAAAATTAAACAAAGTAAGATGGTGAGAGAGAGAAATCAAAAGTACAAATAAAAAAATTTGTGATAAATGGTTTAATTTATTTAAATAGTTTTAAAGATATTTTTATCAAATTATAATTAAATTTATTTTGATAATTATTTTTAAAATATCCTTATCAAAGAAGGTTATTTTTCATGATTTCCTATATACATATAGGCTGAAACAGCTTGACGAACAAAGGGAAATCCATGGAGGAAAAACTAAAAATAGCTATCACAATGACTGTTTTATCTTTGGTATTGGGTATCAGCAAACATCAACTTCCTATCCTACTGATGTGATTACCTGAAAAGAACAGAATATCTACAGCAAAGCATACAATAAAATCTCCCCCTTCTTTTGCAAATTACTGCATATATATACGTTCCTACCTAGAAGCATCAAGAAAAATAGTAGATCCCTTTAATTATGTCAAACGATAGCAATATATATAGTATTTGTTAAGTTTATAATTGAAAGGGAATCTGTGTTATTGTTTGCAAACAGGAGGAAAGAGAAAGACCCAAAACTTTCAAAGGCAGCATGCTGAGCAGAATAGTAGTATATTTCCTCTGAGAAGTAGCAATCGGAAAGGAATGAAGGGGCCAGGGGCTGGGGACACCAACAGCTCCTGTCTCTAATAATAATTGCGAACCCAATGAACAGTAAATAGCGCATCTGCCAGTTGCCACTGCGATTTCAGTACAGGGAATTCTTTCATCCATTTCTGCATAGAAAAAGTTACAACAATATACTAGGTCTTACATTGGTCTCCCACTGTTCCCCACATGGTCAAAATGGTAGGGAAATAAATTTATATATATATATATATATATATATATATATAGATTTGCCCATTTCTTCACTTCAAAGAAATAATATTCTAAACCCGGTTAACAAGATTACAGTTGGAACGTGGAATTTGCTCGCAGTTACTTTTGAAAAGCTGCCAAAGCCTCAACCCTCGACGAACCACTACAGATGAATATCACATGCACAAGTTGACACCACATCAACGTCAGCCTTTGTGTTCTCTTTCTTCTTTAAGTGCCAGGATGCGTTTTGTGCTTTCATAAAAACTGCTGTACTATTTAATTCATCCAACTCGAAATGATTGGCCAAGTGTGTGTGGTTTGGCTCGCATTTCAATGGGCGTATGTGGGTTCAGATATGAAAAATACTGTCCTTCAGCATATCTAGTAACCTTATCATTGCACAACCTTGTAATAAATATGAACAACAATTTTTTTTCAATTATGTTACTATTACCCAACTTAAATCTTACATCAATTTAAATTTTAGTTTATTTTGTTTTATACATGCCTTAAATCTTTGTGACTTACCTTTCAATCTCTATTAACTCGAGTTTTTGTTAAATAAATTAGCGATATTACCATGATTGAAAACGAAGCCTTTCTATCTCCACTCACTTGAGTTTTTGTTAAATAAATTCATGACGTCATCATTACAATTGAAAATGAATAAAAAGAAACCAAATCATCCCAAAGACATTTGAATAACAACCAATTGTTTAAAAGTTCATAGATATTTACCGACTTCATCATTTGGGCGGTTTGAACAAATTATCCCAAAGATTCGATTTTTTTCTCAATTTAAGCCAACATAAGTTTTAACATTTATTGACCACTTTATTCAATAGATTTACAGAACTTCCATGAAATATTCCAACTTTAATCAATAAAGTCCAAAATTACTGTACACATTTTTATAACTAATTAAACAAAAGAGATATTATCATTAAACACTGTCTTTCCTTCACAAGATTTTTAGATATAACATACATGCAATTTTGTTCCCCAAATTTGCATGAATCATAATCTAACGCCAAAACTATTTAAAGATTTATTCCAAATCCTATTTTTACAAAATGCAACACTAAAATAGAAGAACAAAAAATGGCCTGTTTTTCAAAACAAGAAATCCATGAATTTGAGCCAAGGTATCACGCTCTTGGTAACCTTTTCCACTTCCTTTGAGCACGACGTCGTTTCACTATTTTCACCGTCCTTCGACGCCGCCTTTTTTGTGCACAGGAAGAAATTTCTCGATCCCAACGCCATCAGCTTCTCCTCCCTTTCCAAACCTGCGCCGCCGCACACAAAAAGTATTAGCAATCAGTAACACCTGTACACGCGTCCAAATAAAGATATTGTGCGCTGATCGTACGGCCAATTATTTTTCTATGATGCGTTCGTTGATCTTACTTTCTAAGCTGAATTGAGAATAATGGAGGTCGAAAAGCGAGGCGTCCGTCGACGGCAAGATTGGCCGTCGACCTTCCTTCGAGTACTGTCGAACGGCGGCGTTTATCAAGTCGCCGACGGTGTTTTCCGGCGACATCAGTACCTGTACGGCTCCGAGGCTCCCTTGGATCGTCACGTTCAACAGCAGCTTCGTCAACTTCGGCCTCGCATCCTGGGAGATGGTAATAGTCCTCTCTGAAAGCAGGTCGGGTAGCGTCTTAGGCCGCCTCAGCTGTGCCCGTGCGATCGTCGGAATTCTTCCGTGAAACGACGACGCCTTTTCAGATAACCTTCCCCTCCGGTTCTTCTCCGGTTCCTTACGGTTATTTTTTGAATTCGGCATCGAATTGAAATTATCGAGTATAATATTATACAATAATTGAAACGAAAGCAGGAAAAAATTGAAAATGAAAAAACTTTTCTTCTGATTCCTTTTTTTTTTGGGGGGGGGGGGGTGCGGTAGCAAGTGAGTTAACGGTTACCTCAAGCGCCGGTAACGGAAGAACCTAAAGCGAGGGAAACCGAGAGCGGGAGCGGAGCGACGGCTCTCAGGTTTCCGGTCACTATAAGTTATCATAACCTGGATGATATAACCGTAAATGAACAGAAAACCATAGCGCAAAGAGAAAAGCCAGCGAAAAGCGGATAGGAACCGAAGCTCCCCCAAACACTCAGCCAATTTATATAGAAGGAAGGCGAAGATAAAGAGTGGAAAACCGCTATGATTTTTCTCAGATTACCGGCTACACCAGTTGGTAGGAAATAAAGTATTTTCCGTTTTTCCGCGAGCTAAATCTAGTGGTGACCGGCAATTACCCGCTAATGCGACATATGTGTGGCTTTGCTTGAGCATTGAGGGTTAACTGGTTAACGGCTTCGTGCTAAAGTGCGCTCGGTGTAGTGTGCTTTTGGTGATTCAATGGACACGTGGAGGGACTTTGTGGCATGGTGGCTGCGATTACTCGCGTGAGTGTTTGGCTTTCGGAAGTGTAAGTTGTCGGGTAAGACTAGCGTTTCCCTTGCTTTAGGGCGGCTGTTGTTTACTCCTTTGGAATTTCAAGTCACGTGCTGTGCACGTGCGATTTATTGCATTCATAATCAGGCTGGTCGGCGTTACGTGGAAGTATTATTGGTGGAGACTTTTACTCGGAAGTATCGAGCTTAGCTAACAGGAAAACGTATGGTCCGGTGAAATTGTGACACGTGGGAAGAGTGTCGTCTAAAAGAAAATTACTGATGTAGTTGGACCCGGTGGACCGCCATGTGGACCAATGGTGATTTCTGCACAAGTTTTTTTTTATTTTTTTAAAGTGTTGACGTCAGGTTTGCAATTATAGTTTTGTCTTATGTAAATTAAGATTTTTCATTACAAATTATTGAATATAGAAATATGAAAATCCTTTCTTATTTAATATTAATTAATTTTAAATTAAATATCCGTTTCAATTTTTAATTAGAGATTGCCTAATTTTAATTTGGGTGAAATTAGGAATAGGTATGGCGGTATGGGTTCGATAAAGAAGCTATTTATTAATTTATTTTTATTTAGAAAAAATGAAAAATAGTAACTCGGAGTTTGGTTGAAAAATGTGGATTCCTAGTGAGGATTAAGCTTGTTAAAGATAAGCTCAGCTGAAAACTTTGCATATTTGGAAACATGTTCAAAATAAGTAGAATTAGTGTGGCTATGGCTTAACCCCACATCATTTCGGAGCACATGCCGACAATTATTTCACAAACGAAAATAATCATCTCTAATTAATTGAGATAGAACAAATATATCACTTCAACTAATAATCAATTTAATAAAGGGAGTGATTCAACTCGAATATTAGGTTAAAAACATCTTATTCATATAAAAAAATTGTTATGCTCAACCTTAATTATATGTAGGCCTAAGTTTGGTACATTAACGTTGTAGGCTTAATTAATACTTAGGAAAATAATGTGACCAAAAAAATAGTTGGTTCAAATAATTAAAACAAACTTCTTTACCATCACTTGGGTAAGTAATGAGCAGGGAAGTTGCAAAGGCATGTTTAAACCTAAACAATTAGGTTCAAGATGTCAATTAAACACAGGTAAGCAAAAGCTGCTTTCCATCTTCATTTCTTTCTTTTGTTTGCCTAGTCATAATCAAGTTTGGGTGGTTCACTTGTGCTATCTATGTAATTTAATTTTACTTAAAATTTAAGTTACGGATATCTATGTAATTTAAACAGGGGAAATATACTATAAATATGCTTCAGTAGAAAAGATTAAATAAATTGTGAACTGATGACTAGATTAAACAAGGAAGTCTTCATAATGATATATCAGAAAAAATATGATCTTTCTATTTTTGGTACATTAAATTTTGATAGTATTATCATATAGCTATAAAATTAAGTTTTGCAAAATTAAGAATTATTGTTAGTGGTCTTTTGATTGGGTGAACATCTTTCATTAATAAATGATTTAGGTTTTTTTTTAAAAAAAGGAACTCATATATATATTTTTTAAATGTCACTGATCATGATGATTATAGTGTTAAAAAAATAGATAGAGCCAAGCACATGCAAATGTAATCACATATGGGGGACAATTTAGGGATATGGTGACAAATGATAAATACTATTACCTAAGTGGTCTTATTTTATCATTTTTCTTTTGAAATTTTCAAGCGTATTCAAGATTAAAATTAATATACAAATATTTCACATAAGAGACAATATTTAACTTGATTTGACACTTATTATCTACATTCACAAACCAGAAAGAAATAAAAAAACATTATGAATATAAAAATTACAAATGATACAAAACATTCAAAAATAAACACTATCCGAGTTCTAAAACAAACTCAAATCCCATGCTCCTTAGTGTTTAAACTTTAAACCATGGAATTCCCTCTATGTTTCTCCTGTCTTACGATTTTGTGAAACACTCACAACAAACTTGTTTCTCCTTTAAAAATCACATAAAAAATATATTTCTCTTATAATTTTAGAGTTTAAGACCGACTACATTTGTAGAACCCTAATATTTGGACACAAATAATTTTTTCTCGTCAATAACAATTACTTATTTACTTTATTTATTCTTTAACTAAATTTAATCACCAAATAATTCTCAACCAATAAAATTTCACGGAAATTCAAATTGATTATCAATTAAATGATTTTCAATTAAAATCTGAGTCAATTATCTAATGCAAAATCACTTGTATTTACCGACATTATCATTAGTTGATATTTTTGCATTAAAGAAATTAAATATCTTTATGAAAAGACGCACACTAATATTAGTTATACTAAAGAAAGATAAAAAGTTAGGCAACAATCTAATATATATTTTTATTTAATTTTTTAAAAAAATGGTGATTTCATAGTGCATCCACTTGCATTTTAATTTTTAACCATATAGGCGTGATCCACTTTATTGAGATTCTATAATCATATACTATTTTAATTTCCAATTGAAGTCGTGACCCAACATCAGCCACCACTTCATTCTATTATATTATAGTATTTATCAAAATACAATCATATTAAAATAATATGAATGAATTGAAGGATCCCAATATTTGTCTCTATTCTCGAATGGGACAAGTGTGGATTCAGTTGATCCTTACCTAATTACTTATTGTATAAAATTGAAAAGAATTCAGTTTGTGTTTTAATATATTTCATATAATAGAATAAGAATTGTTTATCTGATTAATTTTTTGAACCTTAAACATAATTCACTGGTAAATAATCTCAATTATTGAATTTTAATCATAAAAAAATCTAAAAACTTCAACAACAAATTTCATTTTTGACTTTCTTTATAAGACTTTATGTATGCTAATTTCTAATATTCACCAACCAACCTAGCTACCTGCTTGGGCGGTGGATTGTCATGTTAAGACAGAACTCAACTGGACTTGGGTGGATTGAGATTATCTCATTTCAAGTATTACTCTCATTCTAATTAACTTATTAGGCTTTTGCTGCTATATCAAATTCCATGATATAAATAGAATTGATGGCACTTTGCTGTCTCTATTGTATGGTCCAATTCCAATGAATATAAAATGGGATGGTAATGGTTTTTTTCTCATTGAGAGCTTTTTCCTTTTTGACTATGAACTTTGAATTTAGGTGATTGAGATAAATTATCCTTTATGAGTATTACTATGTTGTAGGTGGTTTTTTTTTTTTAATTTTTGAACATTATTTTGGTTTTCTGGTCACATTATACAGATTCCCCTTTGCGTAAAATACAGTCACATGCAAATCTGTTCAAAAGGGTATCTTTCATTCCCAAAATTAGGTCTTAAAGTGATCCAATTAATGAGATTAAGAAGTTGGTCTTAAACTGACTTGCATCAAAGTCGGTCAGCCTTAGAACACCTTCTCTAAACCAAACTCTAGGTATCAATCATAAGCAACACCTTGGCAGCACCTGGTGCAGGTGACATCCAATGGTCCTAGTCTGCAGCTAGCTGACGTGGGTCCAAAATAACACACACGACTTGACCAGACAAGGGCTTGACTGGTGGGGGTGGAAATCCCAAACTGGACAACAACTTTGTTAAAGAAAAGGGCAAAGGAGTGACTCAGCCGCAGGCCCCTTCCCTTGGCCTTCCTCCGTGCCATTTTGGACAGAAACTAGTCATGTTCTTTGTTGTTATCTATCACTTTGGTGCCACTCCCCATTGTCACTTACCAATATAACAACCTCATTTATTCAGTCCTAACAGTCTTGACACACGATTGTGATGCCAACCTCATTGATTCCATCATAACCGTCTTTCGATCATAAAATTTTCATTGATGCACGATTGTGATGAGAAGGGACGAGTTCCCGGATTCTAAAGTTCACTTGATTGGACAACTGCAGTGAAAAGAGTATAGAGTGAGTGATCGTAAAAGTGTAACCCTTCGACGATGGTTACAGACTTACAGTCGTGACCAAGTGGGAAAGAACAACTTTAACATGGGAAATGTTTTGGCCAAGTGGAAGAGACTACCCCACCTTGCCAGCCGCCATTATTGTTATGGCTGCTGAATGATTCTATCCAGATGTATGTAGAATCCTATCCAGATGGTCAGCCTGTTTCAAAGTCCAGGATCTTGCGTTTGCTTCCGGAACATTCAGCAGTTAATATTCATAAAAAACAAATGTTGGGTTTTGAATCTCTTGATCCCTGCCGTGTCTTGATAAGCTTTACTAATTGAAGTCACAAAGCTTAAGCAAAATTTAAATCGTGCTGCTATTACGTGTTGGATTACATTAGTTACATTTTATTGGTACAGAAATTATTTTTAATTTTTGGCAGACTTTTAAGCCTTAAACCACGTGGGGAAAGCAACTGTTTTTTATCTGCTTCTCAAGAAAATTCTAGTATACAAGAGAGTTGAATTCGGAAGTAAACGTGCATGGGTGAACACTGACTTACAAGTAGAAGCAGCTGATGAGTTATTACAAGTAAAATAAAAAGGGAAGGGGAGAAAGGTAAAAAATTTGTCATGGAGATCATATGTTTCATGTGCCTGTTTAAAGCATATGTACATCAGCAGGACGGGTAAATAATGCCCTCAAAATCTAGAGAGAAGTATTTTGGCTAACTAGGATGCCAGGTTTGGTATAGTTGAACGATTTTTAAACAAATTTCAGCCATACAAAATTTTTTGAAAGTAGACAAAATAGTGAGTATGGACTAAAGTTATGGTTAGAGGCAATCGTTGCCCCATTTAATTTTATCACAATCAATGATAAGGGCGGAGAATAATATTATTTTTTTTCTTAAAATGTAAGTTATTGATTTAACATGAAACCTACATGTATAAAGGATATAGACTTACATCGTGCACCAAATATATATTTATATAATAGGATAAAATATTTTATTTATAATTTATAATTAAAAATATATAATTTTTTCCAAAAAATACATAAGTCTAACCGTTTGTCAATTATTAATATTTTTGATAATTTGATGATGTGATAATATTTATTAAATAATTTTACACTTTATTAATTTAAAAAATTACTAAATATATAATTATAATTTTTCATTTTTCATTTTTTCCCTCCTTTTAAAAATTTTTTATCTTTATCTTTTACCGGCCGACCAATCCTACTTCTTGCCCGATCGACCACCTTATGGTCCGATCCAGCTATGGAGTGCCAGATTCAACTAAATTTGGGAAGCATGATTTGGTGCTCTCCAAGGGAGTGCCTAGGGATATTCGACCAAATTGACATTCCATACCAAATTTGGTCGCTGAATGATCTGTCAGTGTAAGAAAATGCTGTCAATTGGTTTAAGAGAAAGGAAAATAATGAAAAGAAATTAGAGAAAGAAAAAAGACATTTGAGATGTTTTACATTTACCCATCCATGCTAGAGATAGACTATACATTTTAAAAACTAATGAATTTACATAAAATTATGAACAAAATTTTAAAAATCAATATATTTTATCATAATTAGTATAATGTATTTGGTTTGATTTGAACTGTCTTTCATCTTCAACTCATGTTAGTTACCTTCATGAGAAAGGGTAATAATTGTTAAAAGTTTCTCTCTTTCCAATTTAATTAGAAAAATAAATAATGAAAAATTGCTTAAGAATATCTTATTGAGAGTACTACATAGAAATGTTGATTTCAAGTCTTTGAACTTTTCCATCACTTTCTTCCTCTCAAATCGCAAGACTAGTACATTAACAAAAAGGGTAAATAGCTGAGCTCAATTGAGCACGTTTGAATACCCCGTTGAAACCTGAATTGATTTATTTATTGATCTTGACATAAACTTTTTTGTTTTCGCAAATCAGAATTTCAAAGTTGGCATGATGAATAGAACAATTCAATAGCAACAGTCCTATCATGAAAAATATCTAATGCTCAAGCAGTTTCCTGGATATGGAAATGGTCTTATTCATCAATCCTGGTGATGGCTTTATCTTTCATTACTCGTCATCAAACAAAAGGAAAATTCATATGTCATGGGATATCATGAGATAAGCCAGGATGCTTTTCGTTTTGGGTCTTTTGTTTTTCCTTCTCACCTTTAATATTTATCTCTAGAGGCCAAGAATCTTTATCAATTGATACAGTAAACTTAAGATAATGCTATCAATTTAGGTAATTATATGAGAAATGAATGGTGTCATTATTCACACGATTTTCTTAGTTATAGGGAACAAGACAGGGTATAGCACTTTGATTGGTCTTTTTCATTTAGTTTATAAATGTATTATACGTTTGGATCTTTTTTGAATTAATATTGTAAATTATACTTAATTTTCATTAAGTTGCAGGTTTGGGTTTGGCCAAAAAGAAGTCATTGAAATAATTTTACAATGTCCACGCAAGAAAATCTAATTGATGGGCCGGCATTGCATGTTGGGGGAAAACCAATTAAGCTTTAAATCAAAATTTTGGTTCATTCCAAGCATTGCTGAGAGTGGGGATGCTTTATTGAGTGGTCCACTCTCTTGGCTCTGTTATTCATAAAAAGCATCCCATGATTTTGGCGTTTGCAGAATTTTTCAATTCCTTGTCGTTGTCAGCTGGCCTTTGCAGCCAACATGTAATGTGGCTTGATGTCCTTCTCTCTTGCCTGCTATATTTGTTCAAGTTCATTGCATTGCAAATTTGACGAATTGTAAATCATAGGTTCCTGTGAACAATTTGCCTTTGGGTGTGGACCTTGAAATTTGACCATTATCCAAAATACCAGCAATCCAAAAATGAACCACCAAATCCAGTCAAGGAGAGGGTTTAGGTTTCATTTATTGTTGACATATTAATTCATAATTGTAATTTATCTTAATTTTTGTTTACTTTTCAATACTCGAACATTTAATTCATTAGTTGATATATGATCTTCTTACTTAAAATATAAAATTTAAATCTCCTTTTCCCAAATAAAAAAAAAGTTTTACTCATTTTCAATGACAACAATATTTTCTTATAATATAAACAAATTATAATACAATGAGTTCATTTTATAAATTTGAGAAGGCTAAACACATTAAATTGACACAATACCTACATAACAAAAGGAAACTTCATATGCCGGGGGACTTTATTAACTTGACTTGAAGAAATAAGAAGGGGGGAAAATGTTAGGTCCCAATCACCAATGTTTGCCTTCTCTTCTGTCATTTTCTTAGCAACCCAACTGGCAAAAGAAAGTTTGGAAAATCAGTAAGCATTCGGCACCATAAACATGTGTACTAGATAGGTTTTGAGTACTGAAGAGTTGGTGATGTGTGGATGATTCCTCGACATTCTGGTGTCTGGTGTGCTGAATTTTTCATATTATAGCTTGCAAAGCTTTACGTAGCTCCTGATTTTGACACCTTGAAATTAAAAGCACGGCAGCCCAGGGAAGAGTGGCAACCAAGCCTTAATTTTGTTTGTCTATGCATGCTTGCGGTGTGGCTCTAATTGCATCCCAAGTCCCAAGTGCTTTTCGAGTTTTGACAATCAAGTTAGAAGAGCCAGCGTAGATTGGGGTATGAATATGGTGCAAGCAATTCCCAGCACCTTTTTGTCAAACTAAAGCGTGGGTCATTAATTTTGTTAGGCTGAATACACACTACTTCATTTCTTGTTTCAACTCTATAAGCTAGCGCTTGCCCTTTAATTTCATTTTTCTGGACTTTTGGTTACTCTAATTACTCAGGCATTTTCCTCTTATCATATTGAAATTGTAGTATTAACAAGAAAAACCAGCAAGCTCAGGGTGACATCATGTTCGCCAATGTTTCGTAGTGACTGTCGAAAGGACATAATCCACATGTCACTTGGTTTTTGGACACGTACAGATTTGTATGGTTGTTTTCTGTGTTTCAATTGACACACGATTATGAACCAAAGTGATGGATATCTTACGGTAAAATCCCTGGATCGGGTTAGTTTGTAAAATTTTCATAGGCTTCAATGCTAGAAACTTTAATTTGTTGTTACTTCTTTCTTCTTCCTAAACTTCTCAGCAGCATAGAGGGAAGCTGGGAAATTTCCGAAACTGAGGATGATTGCTTCAAATGCTGTAGTCTCATGGTGGTTTAATTGTGAATCAGTTATAGAGACTAGGATGATACAGTTTGCTGAGGTATTCAATCTGATGAACTTAGCATCAGATGTGCAGGTTTCATGACAATGTGAGGCTTCCTTTTAGTAAAGCATGTTGTTCTTTCTGAAGTTCACTGAAACATCTGGGCAAGTATGTGACTGAAGAATTTCCAGAAGCATGCTCGTCTCTAACAAATTACAACATTTCTTAGTCTCAAAAATTACGTGAAAATACAATCAGACCAAACTGTTAATACTTGATCATCCACTTCCATTTCTCAATTGCCTGAATGGAACTTCATCCATCCTCATATTCTTGCAAAAGTCTGTACCGAAAACCGACCATTAAAATGAAGCATCCAAAAATCAAGCCAGATGAGATTTTGATGACCATCTTAGCTATTTATTAATACAGAAGAATATATCCAAACTTGAAATACTTTTTTAATGTTTAATTTTTTTTTCCCTCTTATCAAAGATAAAAGCCAAATGCATACTTGAAATTAAGATTGGCCAAAAAGCAATCAAATGCAGCCTCAACAAAACTGACCCTCCTAGGTTCAACTGTTTTAAGTTTCTACAATGAGGCTCAGCACCATTTAGTATCTGTATATGATTCCAAATAATACACAGGAAAGTGCAAAGATAAAATGCTGTCTGAATATTCCTCCGGTGCAGCACGTGGCCCAAAACTGTTATGCTTTCTAGGTTTTTTTGGATTGCTTCTGGTATTAGCAGTAGCTGAAGGACATTTCAAAATCTTACATAAGGAGTGCAAGTGAGACATCCGTCCATTAGAGCATTTTTGTCGCTGAACAGTTAGATGATCTTGATTAAATGCTCTCAAGCTTCCTTTATGGTGAAGCACTGGAGGGAAACTGACTGAATCAATTGTTTTCAGGAGGTCATTGGGGTTTTCCACACTTGAGGGAGGATGTGGTTTTAGTGGTAATCTACATTGTTTCAATGACAAAATTGATAGCTGCAACATAGATGGAACCTGCAAAGCAGCAACGGAAAACAATTGAAGCAAGGTAATCTCATAAAAGATACTTATTCTATTAGCATAAAGGATCCTCAAAATAAACAGAGTAGACATTAATCCCTGGATTGGTTGCCATTTGATATTGGAAGATAAAGCTTTTCTGATGAACTCCCTATTATTTTAGACCTCAAAAAATTGAGACTACTCAACACAGTTTACATATGAATAATAATTTTGGAAATCTAATGTCATAAAGCAAATTGTTCACCTTCACAGATCATTCTCTCGTAAATCAATCACATAGTTTGCACAATGATCGGAACAGAAAAAGAAAGAAAATAAAAATTCATGGAATAAGAACTTACTGCCGAAACAAGGCTACAAGAAGCAAATGACAATGAAGATGACGAGAATGGAGACTCCCTAGGCTTCTTTCCCTTCTGATCGTTCTTTATGGAACCTCGATCTGCAGCAACAGATCCAAAACTGGTAGGTGCATCATCATCATCCTCTTCCTCGTCATCTTCCTCTTCTATATCTTCATCACCCTCCTCTTTGGTAATAGCTTTTTCCTCTTGGTTAGCTATCACAGAAGTATCTTCTTCCTCCTGCACACCCATTTCCACTTTCTTCTGCTCCTCTTTTTCTTTCATCCTTAACTCCTCATCCAAGTCCTCAATGGCCTCTTCCAAACACAATTCAGCCTCTATAAGGTCAAGTTCCTTTTCAATAAGCTTCATTTTCATCTCACCAGCTTTCTTCTTCTCTTCAGTCCACTTTTCTAGTTTATCAAATCCTGGCTTCAATGCATTTTCTATTGCCGTTATGAATCGTTTCCATATATTATCCCTTTTTACAATCACTTCTCGTCCATAGAACTCATCAAATCCGAGGGGTAGGAACTGAGCCTTCTCAGGGTCCACATCTTCACCTTCTTTTAGAGGCGGCTGCCAAAATAATCGGACCCCATGTTTCTCATCCTCAACATAATTAATTAATCTTCCAGTTGGGGTGTGCAAAATGAGGGGATCTTCAGTATATACTAGTTTTGATGGATCTTCAGGGTCAGGCTCTGGTTCTTTGTTGATAAGAACAAACTCAGGAGTCTCATCTGATGAAGAAATTGTAAAGCACACATTTCAACGAACCAAAAAACAAAAACACAAAAAAAAAAAGAAGAAGATTCTTTTTATAACTTTCAAAGGCTAAGAATTGGCAAAGGAAATGAGGAAGAATACCTTTTGACCACCAATATTCAAGCTCAGCGGGCATCGGTAGCCTCAGGGGAGCTTTATAAAAGGAGTTTAACCACATTTCTCTTTCCTGATCAACTTCATGCACATATGTCTTCCAATAATCAGGAACCTGCCCAACAAACTTACTTATTACCTCTCCTTTTCATGATCTTAGGAAGTATCTACCATGAAAAAGAAAACTTTACTTACTTCATAGAACTGGTTGATGAAGCCTGGTGCCATCCACACATCATCTTCCTCATAGAAATAGGGGTGTTGAGGATCACCATAAGGACCCCTCTCTTCCCTAACCACTGTATAAGCAAATCAATAGCATGACTATAAGATGTTAATCTTTCAAATTCTCAGCGATTAAAAGTCAAAAGGCAGATAGTAATTTATGCAGAGCTAAATTTCTAGTATCAATTGAATTATGCTAAATATTGAACAAGAAATACAGGTATTCAAACTTCAGAGAATAGCCAAGTCAGGCCTTCTGCATAGAGGATGAAACTCCAACAAACAAACTGTGTTCAAAGTTCTGATCATATTCTGGAACCCCCAAAAACATATTTTACACAATAGCTGTCAACATGCTCCATGAAATCCTCTATGAGCTCCCTTTTGCACCCAAAACATAAGATTAGCAGAAGATTTCTATGAAGGCTTTTACCAACAATGACTTCTGATAAACCCAATCCATATCTATGAATAAGTTTCTACAACTTTTAAAAGATTCAACTTCAGCACAAGTTAAGATGTTGACTTATCCAGTTTGCACAAGATACAAAGGTCTCCCACTTCTATTTTCCTTTTTGTTTCTTCTCTTTCTTGTTCTCACTCAAGCATAGTTCTACAACCATGATTTATGTCACACTCTAGAAACATTGATCGGCATGGACACTAGAGAACACAACACTCATGTCCATCATGTCAGACACTTGTAGGGACAATTATAAGAGAATATGTCATATTTTCCTAAACAACTTGTAAATTTTAAAGATGTTATACATTTTTGTCAAGAAACTTGCACTAGAGAATTATCTAAAGTACGATATTTCTGCTATGAGCAATTCTTTGGCAAGAATATGATATAGGCATAATCACTTGTTCCCTTGTCTAGCAAGTTGCCATGTCAAACAACATTTTGTGCTTATACAAATGTAATTGTTAATTGAGTCAAGACTACATACTTCCATCTGGCTTATTAACAAACATCCGAGCCTTAGCAGCAGCAACCTCTGCTATACCAGCATGCATCTGAAAGACTACAATGTGAGAGAAAGACCATATTATAGAATTCTTTTTCCCATATTTTCTTTTGAACTATTTATTAAGCATGAAAAATTCCATAATACCGCTGAAATGTTCTCATCACAACCATATGCATCCTCCAATAGATCTCCGAAATAGAATCTACCCTGCATGCATATAAATTATGCAGTAACATAAGCAGTCAAGCAGTCTTATAAGAGAATGCTTAGGTAGCTGAGAGAAATGGTTCATTCAACAAGGGAGATATTATTCTAAGAAGACTTTGTTTTTTTTTTTAAAAAAAAGAAACAATTTACATAATCATATCAACCACTAACCAAATTGATTGATGAGTGTTTTGTTTCTCATTTTTTTTTTAAAGATCATCATATCTTAACATTGTTCTCTTGAAACATATTGTATAAATTTTCTGTTTTCAAATTTGTATGTTACTAGAAAGCATTATTTAAAACAAAACAGAGGCTTATAACATCATGGTCTAGAGCTGAGGTGCAGTAGCATGTATTTGATCTTATGTATAAACCAATCCAAATCTTCATGGAAGAAATAAATTTCATTACATAAGTTGAGCCTCAAAAAATTGGTTTATATTAAAGCACGTACATAGATGGTGCGTTCATTGACTTCATATACACCACATCCATGCATTCTACCCTGCTTCCACTGGCCAGCATAGCGGTATCGACCCTTTTCCCTGAAACAGAAACATTGGTCTCGATAACACCATAAATTGAGTTACATGCCAACTAAAGGCTCAACAAATATTAGCAGAAAAGTGAAGTACATGCTCAAAACACAGAAAATAGCATTCATTATAAAACATAAATGTCCAATCTAGTACTTCTGAGAATTGAGATAAAGACTACAAAACCAACATGAGCATTATTATAAAAATAAGTGCAGATTCAAATGCAAGGATGAAAGTAATGAAAAAACTAAAGAAATATACAACTTGATAGTGGAACATACGGTTTTCTCCCAAAATGTTTAATCCACTCATCACTCTCGTAAAATGGAATTTCATACTGCCCTCCAGCCAGACGAATGCTATCTTCAACATCCATCTCTAACCATTTTCTATCTTCTGGGGACATGAAATCTCTTGATATTATTTTCCCTTCAGCTCGCATTTTTGCTTCAAGCCTAGAAAAATTGGAAACATTCAACCACATTATATCATGTAAATATCTATTCCTCAGATTGTAAAACCTATGTCATAACATAAGAGTATCATAAATAGTAACAACTATTACATACTTGGACTCTGGCACTGGTTCTATATCAGGAATATCAACTTCAACGACCCCATGACCTTCCATGTTATTTTGCAGCCATTCACCTTCATACCTAGGAAAGGAAATATCTTGTAAGATTTGTTTTTTTGTTGTAATAACCTTTTGTAAGCAGCATAGAATGGTACTTGAAGCACCTCATAATCCCAACACAGTAAAAATTTATAGACCCAATAAGAGGGTGGAAATTGTTACAACATTCTCAGGGTCAATTAATAAAAGCATACATTTCAGTCCCTACCACTCAAGCACAGCCTTATCTAGGTGTTTAAGTGGCCTTGAAAGAAGATCTATATGAAGAAAGGTGAAAAACAACCTTATGATAGAGAAACAGAGATAAACAAACAGAAGTAGGGTGCTGAATTAAATACTGACATACCTGACCAGGCCCTGTTCTGCAACATAAACACCTTTTCCATGAGCCAAGTCATCCCAAACAGTGCCTTCATACCTTGAACAAAGTGCAAAATTGAAGACGATGAGCAATCAAACAAGTTAACTAATCCGGCATACCATAACTATGCACTTCAAACATAGGACAAACAAAATGTATGATTGGAAATGAGTAAATGAGTTAACCACAATATACATTCATATATAGCTGCCCCATATAAATCTATAATTTTGCACCTTGCTATACATTTTTTGAAGTTGACTCTTCAAAGCATATTCAACTTTTGTTTGTATATCTGACGGCACTTTTTGCTTTCTGCATTCTCAAAAGCAATGTAAACCCCACTAGCAAAATTTAACTAGCAAAAACAATAACCACATGAAGCCTATGAAAGAATGTAGCTACCTCATTGACAAACTTCTGAATCTTAACCAAAGTTCCTCAATTACCACATTCGGATATTCTTATAAAGTAAATGCATTACCTTTCCAAAAAAAAATTCAAGCAACAAAAATACTAACAAATTAAGGCCAAAAAAAGAGAAGAAAGTTTCTTTGACATACGAGCTTCCATCAGGGAAAATGTAGCTGACCCAAATGAGGAACTCCTCAATCCTATCCAACTCTTCAATAACCGCTTTGGGGTTCGAAATATCATAATGGTTATCCGGTATAGCCGGATAAGGCTTCCGATACGGAACATAAAACGGGGCAATCCCCGGGTCCCGACCCTCCTTAATCTCATCCCTCACAATTTCCCAATCTTCCTCATCAGCCCAAACCGGGTCCCACCCGGGTTTGGTCATCTCCAACGGAGCATCCACCCAATACTCCTTCAAATCCTCTTCCCGCCAATTCTCGGGATCTTCTGGAAAATCCCATAAGTCTTCGTTGTAAATGTAGTCTTGGTCTTCTTCTTCTTGGATTCTCTTGAATCTTTTACTCTCGAGCACTCGAGTATACTTGCGGATGTTCGTTTCAGGGGTGTTTTCGGCTTCGGGCAGGGCGTCTCCGGGTCGAGTGTAGGTGAGAGTCTCGGAATCGGATTCTTCGATGTAGTCGTCGGAGGAAGAGGAGGAGTAGTCTGAGTCGGAGTCGGAGTCTGGATATTGTTGTTGTGACACAGTGAGCTGTTGTACTTGCTGTTCTTCCTCGTCTTCTGGGTCTTGTTGTGGCTCAGTGGGTTGTTCTCCTTCGTTAGACATTGTTTCAGAGGGGAAAGAAAGAGAGGAGGAAGAAGAAGATAAGGTGGAAAGTGTGAAGAACGATAGTTACAAAGGGAAGCTGAGAGCAGAGAGTGACAGAGTGGTTTATCACTTCAAAAGGGTTTTGGGCATTTTGGCCTTTTCCTTGTCTTCGGGTGATTTTGTCTTTTCCTTTTTTTGAAGTATTATCCTACAATATAATCGACCAGTAGGTTTTTTTTTCTTTTGAACATTTACAAGTTGTAAACTTATTACTGTTTATTTAATTATAAACTTATAAAGCTAATAATTAATTAATCAATGTGTTTAATACATGATAAGTGTATAAATTATTTTGCGAAGATTTTAAATTTAATTGTTGATATATATAAAACAATAAAAGACTATTTATTTATCTATTTATTTTTTAGCTTGTGATTAAAATTTTGGAACGAATAGAAAATAATATTAATAATAATTATATTGAGATCTCCTATTTAGTTATCACTTTTGTTACCTAGATGAATGAAAAAAAAAGGAGTAGCATATATTCTTTCTTAAATTAAAAAAAAAATCTAACATTATATTTAATATAAAGTAGCTTCATATTTCTTTTCCAAATTTCTTATTTACTTTCCCCTTCATATTTATTCTATCTCTATTATTTAAAAAGAAAGTATATCACTTTAAAAACTCTCTTAACTACTTATAAAATTTTAAACAAATTATTTTTTTATTATATTTAATTAAATTTTTATATTTTTATTAAATCAAATATATATTTATTATTAATAATATATAATTAATCGTTAATCATAACAATTTATTTAATATAAATAAAAAAATAATTAAATATAATAAAAAAATATACATATATTTTTATGAAAATTCTTTAAAATTTAAATTATAAGTATTATGGATGACTTAAATGTCACGAATTTTATATCAGTAAGAGCTTAAATGAGTCTTAGATATATAAATATAGATTTTTCACCATCAGGCATATCTTTTGAATTAGGAATGTGGACTGTGATTTATAAGTTTATTTAAGCTCTATATTTTAAGGTTTAAAGTAACATAAACTTGAATTTATGTTTCAGTATGTGATATTTAATATTAAAACAAACCTAAATATAAATATCAAAGTAAACTTAAATCTTCATTGATGTAGACCCAAAGTAGTATGAGAGTCTTTAGATAAAAAAACTAGTACAACAAAAACATTGACCAATTAGGTGAAATAAAATGTCACGGATTTAAAAGAAATAAGATAAGCCTTGAATATGTAAATATGAGTTTTTTAGTATGTATTAGACATATTTTTTAAATTAAAAATATAAAATCATAATTTATAATAGTACTATAAAGACAACCATGGCGAAGCCCAAATCAGAGAGCACATCCAATGACAAGGAAACCAGGGCCCAAACTTGGATTCAAAACCTGACGCAGAACAGAGCCTAAAGCCGTAAACCCTTCGGAAAGTTGAGAAGAATCCGGTCTCCTTGGACCTCGACAGCACAGTTAAAATCAAACTCATCAACCCTTCTTTTTGTGAAACTAAACCACCAATTTTACTGTTATCGTCCAACAGCAAAGCCTTCCATGCTGTTGTCTCCCAAAAAACCAACATTCACTGTTTTTCTCTTTTAAACTCTACTCGTCTCTGAATTCTATGCAGCATTGACTGTATCCAGTGAGTACAGTTTCCTTACAGTTTCAAAAGTTCAGTCACAATTTATAGCATCATCATAGCAATAGCTTTTTTGGGCATTGTTTTTTTATTTTTAATGTTAATTATTTAAGCTGTTTCTGACGAATTTGACTGCAATAAGCTCTCTTACCTGTTTTTATAGCGGGGTTTATGTTTGTTTCTTTATTACTGTTTTTGACTGCTTACTGCTCACCTGAATTACGCTTCTTTTACTGGCCCTTATTTCTCACTCTCTCTCTCTCTCCCTCTCTGTGTCTCTCTTTGTTTCTGGTTTTGCTTTTTCTCAATAGAATTTACGTGGTTTCTTTGGTTCTTAGGTTAAACCTGAAACAATGTCAGGGTATAATATTTACAAGAGAACACCAAAAAGGGCTAAGTTTAGCGATGCAATGGAGGAAAAACAAGGGAGGAAAGAACAACGCTGTTGGGTTCCAGGAACGCCGCAGACCAAGAACGTTTATGTTAAAAAACGTTCGAGAAAGAAGCTTGCTACACAAGAAAAAGATTTCGACTCGTTATTTGGGAGTTCTTTTGCGATGAGTTCTTCATATGAAAAGAACGTTCTGTTTACTCAACAAGAAATTGATTCTGACAAACCATCCGTTACTTGTGTTACTATGATTTCTGCGGATGAAGAGAATGTTCAGTTTGGTTCTTGTGTGGCATTGACAGGATACGAAAAGGGGCAAAATTCTGACAGAACAGAAAGCGCATGTTTGGATTCTGCCCCCATAATAGACTTGAACATGAGCTTGGATTCTCTAGGGACGATAAATTTCAATGCTAGAAAGGAGGAGGGACAGGATTGTGCTCCAGGATGGATAGATTTGAATGCAAGTATGAAAAAGGAACATAGTTCAGATAAAACCAGAGGCTCAAGCTTGGGGTCTGCAGACTCCACAGGCACAAGCAAGGAAAAGGAACAGAGTTTTGATGGAGTAGAAAGGACATTTTCGGGTTCTCCAGGCTTGATAGATTTGAATATAAGTATTTATAGTTTGGAAGAGGTTGATGGTTCTAAAGAGCAAGTAATGCAGACTCATGAGGGTGAATCCACATGTTTAGTTTCTGGTGGAGTGATTGAAGGTTTAGGTATCTTGGGCTCTGGGGAGTCGAATGAAGGTCTTAGTCATTGTGATTCAGTATTGAGTCATAATCCTTTTAAAGAATTCCTTAGTTTCCCAGAGCCTAAAACTTCTCAGGCATCTGTGTATGCAGATGCAATATCACAAACTGCTTCAACTGACAGAAAGATTGAGAATTCCCCTGTAATGAAGGAGCCTGATAGTGAAAAATTAAGCTCAAACCGTAACTTCGTTCAGGGTAAGGGATGCTGATTTTGTCCTTTAGTGTCTCATTGATATATTTATGTTGCATCTCTATTTTCTTATTATAAGATTACATGTTCTAATATAGTTAACTTTGGGTTCAGATGATGGCTTAATGCAAGAAAATGTAACTTGTGAGCAGATTGATGCCAAAGATTGCATAGATTCCAAGAAGACACAACACAAACCAAAAAGGAAGAAACACAGGCCCAAAGTTGTAATTGATGGCGAGCCAACCAAACCAAAGCCTGCAACCCCAAAGCAAGCAAGGGAAAAGAAACCAAAGCTCGCAACTCCAAAGCAAACCAAGGAAAAGAAACCAAGGGTTTCAGCTCCAAAGCAAGTTAAGGAAACAAAATCTGAGAATGTAGGGAAGCGTAGAAGCTCCAGTTTGAAGGATGTCATCATTGAAGGCACAGCTCTCAATCAATTGGAGACCAAAAATCAATCTGACATCCAAAGCAACCTGATCATAGAGATCAATGAAACCAAAGCACCTATCGCAAGGGCTTTGGATTTTCAATCTGAAAGTTTGGATGCTAAACATGTGGGTTCTGCTTCTCTTAACAAGAAAAGAAGGTCCAAAAGGAGAAGGAAACTGAATTTGTTCAGTTTCACTTTCATGGGTGAGACAAAGAAGGGCAAGAAGAGCAAGAAAAGACTATTAACTGTTAATTGGTGTCCGAGAAAAAGGAGGTTGCAAATGAAGAGGCCACAGAAGGTAAGAAGTAGAATTCACTCAAACTCCAGTTTTCTTAAGCAAGTTACCCTAAACTTTGACTAATGAAGCTTATAAGGTGCTTTATTCATTGATATACTACAGGTACCTGAGAGGAATACTTTACTCAGTGATAAGTTAGAGGTACCTGAGGTGGATGCAAAGATTGATCTTTCATTTATTGACAAGCAAAGGGTAATAGAGACAGATACTAACCATGGGCTTCAAACTCACAATGCTGGATTTGCTGAATTTCCAGTTCACCACAACACTATTGTCACTAATATGAGTGATGATGATTTAGTCTCTGATAAGACGGATCTTTCCACAATGGGAGAGATGGAGGTATCTGCTTTAATGGAGAGGTTGATGGGAGCCCCTACTTTAGGAACACAGATGGAAACCCCTGCTTTAACAGAGAGGTCTCAAAAGACAGAAACTCCAAAAGAGTTTGACAATAGTACATGCAAAAGCAAAGGTGAGGGAAGCACATCAGAAGCTCAGAAAAGTACAGGCAAGAGAAAACCTAAGGAAAGCACACCAGATGTCACTACCAAATCAAAAGGTATTTTCCCTAGGCACAACACAACATAACATTAATAACAGAAAAGCTGTCGTTTCGATTTTCTTGAAGCTAACTCCGTAAAATACATCATGCATGTGATGCAGGTCGAAAGGGAGTCTTAAGTAAAAAGGACGTTAATCTAATTATTCAGAAACTGCAGTCTTTGCGTATCAGTGATGAAGGCACACTGGTTCCCTATCAAGGGACTAAGAAGAAAAAATCGTCGAAAGTTGACCTAGACTCGGAGACATTGAGAGTTTGGAACTTGCTGATGAACATAGATGATGGCGGGAGTGAAAAGGAAGCAAGCGAAGAAACTGAGAAGTGGTGGGCAAAAGAAAGAGAAATTTTTTTTGGTTATGTATCCTCATTTAATGCGCGTATGTATCAAATACAAGGTACATTGAATCCTTTGCCAAGCAGCTTATCTCTACCTTATCTATGGTATCTTTTTGTTGATGATTATGTGCCTTAATAAGAATCCATTATTTTCAATATACATTTTTAGTTAGTGATTTGCACAACTTTACTGACAGCAAACTTTTTTCATAGGGGATAGAGGCTTCAGAAAATGGAATGGTTCAGTTCTGGATTCAGCAGTAGGAGTTTTCCTAACACAGAACGTATCAGACCACCTTTCAAGGTATATAACAAATTTCTTAGCTTTATTTTTTTTTTTTTTTTCTCTGCTCTCTTTTTAACAGATTGACAATGGTAGAAAACTTAGAGATAATGATTGAGAATTATTACTTAATTTAATGCCTTTTTTGTCTTTCACAGCAATGCCTTTATGTCACTTGCTGCAAAGTTCCCCCCTCAGCCAACATGTCAGAAAAGAGCATGTGATGAAGTCCTGGAGATCTTACGTATCCAAGAGTCAGTTGGAAGAAGCATAGCAGCAGAATATGATGCTGTGGGTAACAAGTATTTTGTCAGTGAACCTGAACCAGAAAGGAAGATGGAATTGGGAAGAGGAACAGAGACCTTGGTTGGTGGGGTAGAGGAAACAAGCTCCACTGAAATTGAAGACATTACATCAGTGTGCATGCCAAATAGTTTGGAGACTTCTAGTGGTTACGGAGGCAGTCCACAGATTAAAAACACAAACTTACCAGAGGAATCACGCTATAACCCAAATATGATATTATCATGCAAAAAGAAACCGGAAAATGAATGTAATGAGATGAAGCATGGAAATGAAACATCCAGTTCAAAGAGATCAGCTAACCTGAAAGGTTGCTGCGGACATATCTCTCCGTCCTGTTCTCAAGATTCCCTTGATATGTCCCTTCCCACTTCCAATCTGAAGGTAGATCATCCAGAGATTTCAGAAGATTTAGAGGTACATAATGAAGCCAAGCGCTGTACACCCCTTGCACCAAAGGAAGAGGCAGAAGCTGAAGTTGGAGAAGTTTCCCATGCTAGACACTGCTTCCAAGAAGAGATGGTGCGCTTCCAGTCTCAAAAGACGCCAGTTGATGCGCCTGTATTCCCTATAGACAAAGCAGAACAAACTCAGAAGACTACGATGCAGCATGATGATGCACCTACTATTAGCAAGAAAAGGGGTAGAGGGAAATCACCAAAGAAGGATGAATCTACTTCAAGGGGAAAGAATAAAAATAGTAAGAAAGCAGAAGACAATTTTGACTGGGATAGTTTAAGGATAAAGTATTCCACTGGCCCAAGAAGTAGCGATCAAATGGATTCTGTGGACTGGGAGGCAGTCAGGCTTGCAGACATTGAAGATGTAGCAGATGCCATTAAAGTACGAGGGCAGCACAGAGTAATTGCAGGGAAAATCCAAGTAAGGCACCTACGTATTAGAACACCATATTCAGCATGGTTTATTCGAGATAAAACTGTAACTCAGATGGAAAATTGCTCTTACAAATATGCTCATTTGTTCATTTTTGCAGAAATTCCTTAACCGAGTGGTTAAACTACATGAATGCCTTGACCTTGAATGGCTACGAAACGTCCCACCTGATTTAGCGAAGTAAGCCCACGAATATTTGAACCTGCTAAATTTGCATATACTCATGTTTATTCCATACCTATAGGGAATACCTGCTGAAAGTTGATGGACTGGGGTTGAAGAGTGTTGAGTGCGTACGGCTTTTGACACTGGAGAATGTTGCCTTCCCAGTAAGATTTAATCTATTAAAATAATGATTACTTGTTCGTTAATGAAATTGATCTCTTCACTCAAAAAGTTGGTTGTTTCTTCAACAAGGTTGACACAAATGTTGGTCGAATAGCGGTACGTCTAGGATGGGTTCCCCTCCAACCACTGCCTGAAGAACTTCAGATACATCTCCTTGAACAGTAAGCATCATACAGCTGAGAAGCAAAATCACTAATTTCTACCGGGGAAAAAAGGATGAAAAGGCACTAATAATATTTTTGTGCAGGTACCCTATAATGGATTCCATTCAGAAATACCTCTGGCCGCGACTCTGCACCTTAGACCAGAAAACACTGTAATTCCAAATTCCAAAGCTTCCTATATATTAAACAATCTTAAGATGACAGAATATTTGCTGATTTCATTAAGCTTATTAACTAATACTTTGACATACTGCTTGATACAGATATGAACTACATTATCAGATGATAACCTTTGGAAAGGTATTTGATCATGATACTGTCATTTTCACTTATTATTTATTTTTATTGAAGATGCTAAATGGTTACCACATACTTCAAAATTTTTCCAGGTTTTCTGCACCAAGAAAAATCCAAATTGTAATGCTTGTCCAATGAGGGCAGATTGCAGACACTTTGCAAGTGCATTTGCAAGGTTTGTATCACATCGATAATTAAAATTACTAATGCCAGTTTTATTTTGGATTTAATAGGAACTTATAGGGAACATTAGATGCTGAATTAGGAAAAATAGATTTCCCCATAGTTATAGATCATGGAAATAACAAAACATTCTAAGATCTCAATTGTCATCCTCGTGTAAGAAATAAAGAGGTGCAGCTAGATGTTTCTGCATGCTATAAACTTCCCCTTTTAGATTTATATCATAAATAGCTTGTTCTTACAAATCAAAACTGCTGGATGCAGTTCAAGGCTTGCACTGCCAGGGCCATCTGATAAAATGAATGTGAGTCCATCAGTTCCTGACGGTTCAACTGCAATTTTCGACCACCTACCATTGGTATCTTCATCAGAGGCTACACCATTTCATTGTTCTAGACCGCAAATCGAGATTTGTGAGCCTGACATTCAAGAAACCATCGAACTACTGCCAAAACTTGAATCTCCACAATCAGAGGAACTAGAGGTTGAATATGATTCTGAAGGAATTCCTATTATCAGACTAAATCTTGAAAACTTTAGGACAAGTTTGTGCAGCTACGTGGACAACAGCAATACCGTGTTTGAAGATGGCGAAAGCTCAAAAGCAATAATTGCTTTGACTCCAGAAGCAGCTTCAATTCCTGCTCCGAAACTGAAGTATGTTAGCCGGTTAAGAACAGAGCATCTAGTGTAAGTAGTCATCTTTCATGTAAACCTATTGTGTATCGTTGAAATCAGGGTAGGAACCTAATAGAAAAAGGTAAAATTATTTAGATTGTGCCAAATAATTTGCAATACTATTTGTACTGTACGTTAAAACTTCATAGTCATTAGAAGATAATCTTTTTTGTTTTGTTGGGTACAGATTATCTTATTATTTCAAACATAGGCAATTAATACTAACAATTTACTTTTCTCATGCAGTTATGAACTGCCACGAAACCACTTTCTTCTAGAACAGGTAAGTTGACCCAACCAATAAAATTGTACTATGATACATGAATTTAAAGTCTCATTACCTCTTATCTGTTACAGCTTGAACAAACAGAATCCGATGAAGAAGTGCAGTACCATCTTGCTATATGGAGACCAGGTATGATGTAAAGTAAACAATATACATTCATGAACAAGCCAATTTATGTTTAATAATCCATTAGTGCATAAAAATTAGCATATAATTGATAGGTGAAACAATATGTTCTCTGGACTCTAAGATGGTTATTCCCCCAAGTTTTCAAGCCTATTCTCACATTATGAAACAATGTCTTGCACTGGGGCAATATATGGTGTCAGGTGAAACTGAAGACTCATTGGTGCCATCAAGGAAGACATGCAATTCTATGGAGTTTGAGCTTTGCAATGATCAAACATGTTTTTCATGCAACAATACTAGGGAGCAGAATGCCAATATAGTCCGTGCCACTCTTTTGGTGAGTGAACAAAGCATCACTTCATAAACCCCATCCCCACCCACCACAAAATGAAAAACTTAAATTGTGTGCGTATCCTTGCAAAAGTGGTTGCAATATATATTACTAAATTACTAATTGTATGAACAGATACCTTGTAGAGTAGCAATGAGACGTAGCTTTCCACTGAATGGAACATACTTTCAAGTGAATGAGGTGAAACCATTCATATAATGTTTTTGTATTTAATCAAACTCTTATCTGATAACTAAAATTGTGGATAAAAAACTTCTGCCATATAACATTTGATCTCCTGCATAGGTATTTGCTGATCATGAAACTAGTCTTCGACCCGTTAACATTTCAAGGGACTTGATATATAATCTCAGAACTAGGACTGCATACTTTGGATCATCAGCAACAGCAATATTCAGAGGTAAATAATTGTGATTCACAGTTCAACATGTAAACCTCAAACATTTTATTCATAAAATACCTTGTTTAAACAGGTTTATCAATGGAAGAAATTCAGAAATGCTGTTGGAAAGGTACGAAAGAAGTTCCTAAAAACCCTTCCTCAAGAGTTTTACTGTTGTTATAGCTGATTGTGTCAAGAACAAGATATACAATTAGCATCAATGAAAGGTCAGAGTGGTGCAAACCCAAGGCCAGACTGAATGAATCTTTAACTATTGAGTCAAGCTCTTATTAGCTATCATGAGTCAGTTACTATATTTTGCCAGACATGTTTTATTTTGATCCTTGACATAATCTGTGGTAGTCAAATTTTAGAACTAAAACTTTTTTATTTTTCAGGTGTTATTTGTGTGAGAGGATTTGAGCGTAGTACAAGGGCTCCTAGACCACTTGTAAGAAGATTTCACTGCTCACCAAGTAATATGGAGAAGGTAAAAAGAGAAACAAGAGAAGATGGGATGTCCAATAAAGGTGGCAAAAGGAAAGCAAAAGAAAAACGACATATAATTGATGACAGAAACTGAAACGATTTTCATTGCAATCCTCAATTTGTAAATAATTTATCATTACCAAATGAGTGGTATATATAATAGAAAAACATTTCCATTTGTAATAGATAGTATTTTTTAATTAGAGATTTCAAGTTAGAAGGTTTTTTAAATTCAAATGACGATATAAGTAATGTAAAGTTTACTGAATGAAAAGAAAATTATATTTTGTTATTATGATAATTTATTCAATTAAATCAATAACAAGTTTTTAATTTTAATTTTAGTTGATGAGTTGATGTGGTCAAAAAAATTTGATACATTTGATCATCTTATTGGTTATTGGTTGAAGTTGTATCGAAAGAATAGTTTGTTTATGTAAAATTAAAATTTAAAAATTTATTTATTATTATAATACATAAGCGTTTTTAAGATTTGAGCTTTAATAAAAAAAAATTAAGAGCTAATTAAAATGCCAGCTGACATCCTCTTAAAAATTTATTGAAGTCTTCTTAAACAAATTCTACAAATAGATAATTCTCAATTCTCACCGAACTATGTTCACATATTAAATAGGTATGTTATAAAATAATTATTAACAAAGTTAATTTGTTGAATTAGATTGACCACGCGGACGATCCATTACATTAATCATGGTTCCTTCCCTTTTAATGAATTTGCCAATTACGTTGGCGCACATGCTCATATTGGTCTCACTGTACGTGATATTGGTTACATTAAGTGACCAGTAAACCATTCCTGGTCAAAGGCATCCCGCGTTATAAAACATTTATTCCAAATACTGTGGAAATGGTCCAAAATAATTTCTTCTTTTCTTGCCCTTAGGTGTTTTTGGTCAATTTGTACAACAAAATTGACCTTCAAAAAGCGTGTTTAACAGAAACTAAATCCCTTGTCTATGTTTGCTGTCTTATTGTATACCGTAATTCTCATAAATTGTCTCATTTTTATTTTTTTTATAATTATGTTGATATATATTTAATTTTATCTCAATTTTATTATCAACAGAAATAACAATAACTACACGAGATAAATAAACGAAAATTGAACACTCTTGATCTATAATTTTAATTCAAAATCGAATTCTTCATGGCGAGATCTTCCCTTTAAAATATTTTTCGAAGATTAATAAATCAAAAAGAATCTAACCAATAAATCAAAAAGCCTACCTTTTTTTTTTAATTGTTTTTAAGGAAGATAAGCTTTTAAGAAATTATCTTCACGATTCCTTTGTAATTTCTGAGGTTTCAACTTTAATAACAAAATCCTATGTCTCTACTGACAAGATATATTATAATAACATGACGCCTTGGAGTGATGTATGTGCAGTGCCGTCAACAAATTCTGGCCTTTAACGGTGGGTAACAGATTTTTACACATTTTAAGATTCGAACTTTTTCCGTCTAACATTGTTGTAGCTTCACACGTCATTCAAATATTATTCAACTTCTAAAAAGTTACCCTTTTAACCTTTTGAGGTTTATACATATATATATATATATATATAAGTATTTTTATTCTTTGGTGCATTTTTACGAGTAATATCTAAATATTAATTAAAATAATCATTTAACTATTTTCTTAATTCACGTATTCTTTCTCTTATTCTTCTTTTAGAGACGAGTATCACGTCTTGTCAAATATATAATATATTATATTACGAAAAATATGACTTGATGCACCTCTTATACTTGTTCTGCGTGTGTTTGACTTGTTGCCTAGGATTTTTCCAGGAAATTGTACTGCTTATTACTATCCTTGTGTAGCTTAATTTGCATAAAAATATTCAAAGCTAAATTCCCTTTTTTTTCTTTTTTCTATGTTACGTGCAAGACTTAGATATTATAAGTGATACATAATTTAACCAGGAATTACAACAATATTTCAATGAGCAATTTTTTAAGTTCAAATCCAGTCAAGATTAAAAGCTTTAAAAAAAGGAGAGGAATATCTTAAAGACGAAAACTACATGGATTTCATCACCTTAAACGCTATCGTTTCTTAGAACGAGAAATCCGCGCCAACGGCTGAAGCACCGAATCCTTGTACCTGCACGGCAAAACCCGTCTCCTCCCGCGTTTCGTTCGGACCACCTGCGAAGCCTCGTCGAAAGGTCCGTATAAATCCGCCACCCTACAGTCTCTCCCTTTCTCCATCGATTCCTTCCCGTTTATCTCCTGAGTTTCCAACTCGCCACTGAGTCCACCACGTTCCAACTCTCCATTTGCCGAACTCAGATCCCCTGTCTCAATAAGCAAATTAGCTAACGAACCCTCCTCCTGTCCGAGCTCCCTCCTGCAAAACGGCTCCGTTTCCTTCTTTTCATCTTCAACGTCGATTTCAGGAACTGGGTTTCTTTTCTCTTCGTTTTCGTTTTTCTCTTGATTTGAGTTGGCTTCAATAGCATCCGAATTCCTTTCAGTTTCTGGTGACGAAGTCAACTCCAAGTTCAAGTCAATAAGGAAACCCTGATTACCAAAAGACTGGGCCTTATCCTGGGAGCTTGATGAGGAGGAGGGAGAATCAAGTTGAAGAAGTTGACGATGAAAAGATGGGTTGGCTTTTGGGTTTTGTTGGTTTGGAGGAATAGAGCAGATGATGCTAAGGATCTTTTGCAAGCACATGTGAGCTTTCGAATATCCTCCTCCTTTACCACCAAGGAATTTATGCGAATCCATTGATGTAACACGGGAAAGAACAAGAGAATAAAAAATAAAAAAGAAGACGAAGCCCCCTTTCCTTTTAATTCATCAGCGATCTGATCGGCTTTCGCTAGAATTTGAACTGTTTTTTCTTCATCAGTTTCTGCAAAATCACACGGAAGAAAGAAACGCCAAATTCTGAAAGGCACCACCCAAAAACCAATCTCTTTGCTTAATTAATTCCTTCAGTCTTTCTCGTTTCTCTCTTTCCTTCCTTCTGTAGACAATGTATTTCTGACTTGTCCCCTAGAAAGTTGTTGAAGAGTCAAATGAGATGAGAGGGTTAATGGGGTTAATATAAATGACGTGGTGCATGCGGAAGGACGGATAGCGAGTAGTGACGATAAAAATATGCTCACGTTGAAGGGAAAAGAAAATATGACCGTTGCTTTATCTGATTATCATAATGATGTTGATATGGGTACTGTGATGAGCTTGAATTTCTGTACTGACCTTAGTACGACGTCGTTTTGACTAGGTGTCTAGATTCTAAGACTGGCCGCTGCTGCTTTTTCGCTTCTGTACCTTTGACCTTTTGGCAGGCAAATTCTTTTTATATTTCAATGAGAACGTACAATTTCTTGGAAGCAGAGTTTCAAAAGCAGGGGCTGAAGGAAAAAACCATTGTACATCCTTTGGCCTGCTTTCTGCGGTGCGCGGTGACTTACGGTAGAGTTTGTACTACTAGCTAGGTGTGTTCTCTTTTCAGACATTCACTTAACCAAAACCAGTGAATCTTACCCTGTCATTTAAATTTTGCAATCGGTTACAGTAGTAAACGTCATTGATCATTGTAGTATACTGTGGAAAAAAGACCCAATTCCGGGAAAAATAAAATTGTAAAAAGAACGTGAGGGAAAAGTTTGGGTTCAGGAACTGGGCCCTTACTTTGAAACATGTGACACAGTTTTTCCTAACCTGGAGAGCTTCACAAGACAGAGGGAGACAATTGACCTTTCAGTTGTCTTCAAGCACAAATGAAAAATTCACTAGTACTCCTTCAATTTCAAAGCCAATAACCATGTCTAGACATAGTTGTAGACGCAGAGTGATACACAAACCAGTTTTCAGTTTAGTGAATAGCATGATCTTTACACAGTAAACACATTATTACAAGGAAAAGGATTCTCCTCATACTTTAAGCCAATGCTGACATCCGAAAATTATCACAGACAAAAGGACTTGAAAAATTAAAAAGAAAAGCTAAAGGATAATATAATTCAATACTACATTAAAAGCTACAAAAACAAAAAAAAAAAGACAAGAAAGAAAAAAAAAACATCTCTGTCACCCAACTTAACATTCTGCAATCTGCATTTACCTTTGACAGTTGACAGACACCATAGTTCCTGAATTTCTCCTTTACCAATCTCTTTCTGCCACTTCGCAGTAACTCCCATAAAACCCTCCAACACGTAAACGGTAAAAGAAAAAAAAAATCACTCTTTTTTTTACGTCTTTCTTTCTAAATTAAAGTTCTCTTTTTTTTTTTTACCTCGACCTCCGTTTCTTTTTCGAAACCACGGCTGCTGCTGCTGCTGCTGATCTCTGTGGTCGCTTCTTCCATGGCTCCAAAACCGAGTCTCTAAACCTGTGTGGCAAAACCTGACTTCTCCCTCTCTTTGATCTAACCACCGGCGATATATCTTCAAATTCCCCGAGCCCTTCTTCTTCAACGTTAACCGAACTGTCGTCCTTATTCCTTTTCATTGAAACACCACTTTCTTCAACCTCTTCAACTTCCTTATCCTTTTCACTCACACAATAATCCCTGTCTGAAATCATCTCTGCCGCTTCTATAAGTAAATCCAAAGAATCATTGAACGCTGCCCCCGTTTTAACTTGATCGTCAGTACCGCTTTTAAACTCGTCGCTTTTTTGCATTTCCGTGACATCAGAAGAAACATCAGTGGCTGTAGCTGTAGCTGTTTTCTCTTGAATTTCTTCAGTTTCTTCTTCTTCTCCATCTGGGTTTTTGCCGACGAAGCTATTCTCGGCTAAAGACTCAGATTTTTCTTCACTCTCATCATCATTGAGAAAAGACCCTAACCTTAAGTTTAAGTCAATATCAAACCCTCCCTTCTTAAAAGGGTTTGGGATATTTTGACACGGTGGTGGAATAGTTGAAATAATATGAAGAATCTTTTGAAGACATGCTTGAGCTTTGGAACATGATCTTCCATGGTGTGCGCTGCTAAAGCAAGAATCTCTTACCTGATTATTGCAGTACAAAGAAGCCATTTTGGGAGTCAAGAAAGAACCCAGGTTCCCTTCCCTTTCACATCTCACAAGGCTTTGCCAATTTTTCCGAGAGAATTCAAGAGAGAAAAAAAATGAATACTAAATGAGAGAGAGAAAAGAAACGAACAAGCTAAGGCATGCTCGCTAATCTTTCCGTATTTAATAGTAGCATTTTGTTTTTATATTCTTGGAATTTCAATTTGTTGCTATGAAATAATGGAAAATGAGGGGAAAAAAAACAAGATATGGGATTCTTCGATGCTTTAGTGACGTGGCATGTTGGCTACCAGTGTTCCATACGTGGCGAAAGATGATTGGGTGTTGGAGATGGTAGTGGCACGTAATTAACCGATGAGAACAAAACTTGTCATCGGGTTTACGCCCTTGGCCTTGGGCGTTTCTCTTGTGTTAGCAAATAGAATGGTGTTCTTTTCTTGAAAGCTTGTTTTGTGTGATCTTTTCTTTTCTTTCCTTTCCTTTCCAAAGGAGGATAATTATTTTTGAAAAATTAATTTTTATTAACCCCATCAAGAATTTTCCTTCTTTTTTATAATAATAATTCATCATCCATGTCTAGGTTCCATTAGGTATTGGGAAAATAACTTACGGAATGAAAATCTTTTTGGTAAAAAATATTTTATTAAAAAATTTAATAATTTTTTTATTTAAATAAATTTCCAAAATATTATTTCAATTTTATAAGAGATGCTAATGAGCCTAACTCCGCTCATTTTTTTAATTTTGACCATTGTCAAAGTATACTTGATCCCATCATCTCAATAGCCATTCAAAGTAGAAACTTTATATTATATTTTTATTTAAATTTTTCAGCATTTAATCTAGAAATAGTCAGAAATTGACCCTTCGTTCCTTGCCATTTCTGCTTCTTTTTAATTAGTGGGGTCCTCACAGTTGTAGGAGGAAAAGTTAGCTAATGAACAAAGCGAAAACAGACCCCAAAAAATCACCAAATTAATATAAACAAAACCACTTTGATAAATTCGCTTAGCAGCCACTCCCCAAAGATTAGTTGAAAATTATTTTTGTTTTAATTGGGAGAGGGAATTCGGACCTCATATATTAATTAGTGAATTAAATATTCAAATATAGTTACAAATGATTTTTATTAAACTAAATAAATAAATATATATATATATAAGTACTAAGCTTTCTGATAAGATAATGGATTATGTATATAGGCCAATAAAGAAATAAGCAAGTATTTTTGTCTTGGATTGATCTACCAAACCAGCTAAAATGCCTAAAAGCTGGGATTGCTGCTGGTATCTCTTCAATGCATGGAGTGGTCCCTCCTGAAACAGCTACAGAGCAAGGTTTTTCTTTTGGTTGTGAAACAGCTACAGAGCAAGCTACCTCTCCTCTCTTTCTTTAACAGATTTTGGTTGTGAATCAAAGTGGAAAGTTGCACAACAGAAACTATTTGGGAAATGAAAACTTTCTTTCCATTCAATCCTTAAGTGTTGAAGAGGGGTACCCACCTCTTCTTAACACAAAAATAACATCTCCAAACATGTATAATAAACACGTTTTTTGTATGATGTCTTAAAATTTAGTGTATTCAAAAATTATTATATATATATATATATACATATCTACGAGAATATAGAGACGGAGCGTCCCTTTCCGACTCCTCTTAAAAATTTTAAAACTTTTTATATATTATATATATTTTTTAATGAGCCACAAAATAGTTTTTTTATTAAATTATTAATATAATATGTCCAACATATTTTCAATGGACTCTTAAAATAATTTTTTATTAAATTATTAATATAAATAAAAACAATAAAATATTCTTATAAATCCATTTAATTTCACCATAACTCTTAAATTTTTTTCTTTTCAAGTTTCTTCACACTTTTTTTCATCACTTTCTTTTTCTTTTTTTTTTTTTTGCCTTTTTTGTTCTTTCATTGTGAAATTGCATAAAGGTAAAGTTTTTCTTAATCTTTCTTTTTCTATTTATATTATTTGTTATCATTTATATTTTATTATTTTTTTCAATTTTATTCTATTTGATATATGTTTTAAGTTTTTATAAATTTTCTTCATCAAATTTCTATAAATCATCTACTATGGTTTTTTCTTCTTATTTGTTATATAATTCTATTTTCTACTTGCCATGTCTTTCTTTTCTTTTTTTTGTTATATGTCCTCAATGATTTTAGTTTTTAAAAATTAAAAAATTATTATGTAATTGTCAAATATGCATTGTAGCATTACATTATTGATTGTTGTTTAAAATTAACATTGCATGATTGATTGTTGCTTAAAATTTTACTAATATATTTTTTTATTAATTTTAATTATATAAGATATTTTTTCTATGTTTTATGTTTTATATCTAGTTGAAAAGAAATTATTTTTAAGCATTTAATCTTTAAACAATATTGATTATATAAGAGAAAATTATTAATTTTGTATACCATATTTAATTATTTATATTTTATATATTATTTTTCTTCATCTTTGATCTTCTAATAAAAGTTGGCTAGCTTCACCTTGCATGTATATCTATTTATAGTGTTATACACTCAAGTTCTCGAGGTGTAATAATTACTTGAAAACACAGAAGTACTAGTAGTTTGAGATGAAATAAATTTACTCATTGATATTTAAAATTTGACATTTAAATTTTGTTAAAATTTTCTTGACACACTTAAAAATAAAATAATTAGAATATCTCTTATTTCATTAAATTAATATTAATAATAAAATAAAAATTTAAAACAATTAAAAAAT